GAAATATATTTATGTTTGTGGTTGTAATGTGACAAAATATGGAAAAGTTCAAGGGGTATGAATACTTTTGCAAACCACTGTATTTATACTTCTTATCCAACCACAATCAATCACTCTTTTCAGAAGGAGCCAAATTTCTGGATGGTCACAAACTCTGGGTAGTGACTGAAAGAAGAGGTCTTGGATACGGTCAAAATGTGTTTTTTCTGCAGGGTAGCTGGACTCTCCCTTAGGAAAGTGCTTCTGATTTGTCTGACTGAGAGGAGACCCCAGGGAAGACCAAGGACGTGTTGGAGAGAGTATGTCTCTCAACTGACCTGAGAAAGCCAGATGGATGGTTGGACAAGCCAGAATAAAATGAAAATGAAATTCTTTATAAAATGTAAGGAATAGAAGAAAAAATTTGTCTGAAAAAGAATTACTCCAGTAAAATATTCAAACATTGACAAAGTATTTTTAATTCATTACTTGACACCTCTGTCATATACCCATGTGCAAAAAAATTTATTTTTCTTTTACAAGTTCAATATAGTTTCTCATGAGAATCTGAAACGTTATTATTTTTAATGTATTGTGGTTATTTGAGGGTTGTTTTTGGTTTGTTTATGAGCAGGTTTGATCTTTCATGAGCATTATAAGCTATTAAAAGTAACTTTACATAAGTTAAGTTGGGCAATGAACCTGAAATATCACAGTATCATTTGCAAGCTTTTTAATTATGCATTTCAATTTGTTCCTTTCTTTGTTACATTTAGGCCCATAATTTACATTCATTAGCAGCCATACCACCCTGAAGCTAAGCAGAGTTGGGCCTGATTAGTACTTGAATAGGAGACAGTGGATATCTAGCTATTTGAAAGATAGGAAACAGTTTGTACAGATAAATGGAGTAAGATCTGAACCTTGTAACATAAGATGTAGCGTTCCTCAGGGTTCTGTACTTGGACCGAAGTTGTTTATGCTGTATGTGAATGACTTGGTAAATGTGTCAGAGTTTTTCAAATGTGTATTATTTTCAGATGATACTACATTTTTTTGTTTGGGTAAAGATATAGAACAGATGTTGGAAAGGATGCAAACGGAATTTGTTAAATGACAAACTTGGTTTAGACTTAATAAGTTGTCATTAAATTTAGAGAAAACTAATTAGAAAGAAAACTATTGATGTTCCATTTAGAGTCGATGGGGTTGAGATTTGTAAAGTCAGTGAGGTGAAGTTTTTGGGTGTGGTGATAGCTGAAGGGTTGACATGGAGACCTCACATAAATTATTTAAGAACAAAGATGGCTAAATCTATTGCTGTTCTGTATAAAGCAAGGGAGTTATTTAATGATAAAGCACTATATTTGTTGTATAATGCAATAACAAGTCCACACCTGGTTTATTGTATTGAGGTCTGGGGGAAAGCGTGTTGGACAATTACAATTCCTATTTTTTATTACAAAAAGAGCTGTGAGAATTTTTACTGGAAAACATTGTTGTCATCCATCAAATTCATTATTTTGTAAATTGAAAATATTGAAGTTCTTTGATTTGGTTGATTATAATATTCTACTGGTTATGTATAAGGCCCACAAAAACACATTACCTTTAAACATCCAAGTAAAATTTGTTAAGAGAAAGAGTTGTTATAACCTTAAAGGGACAGAGATATTTGTAAAACCCAAATTCAGAACTAGTTTGAAGGAACGGTGTACTTTATTTAATTCAAGGAATAAAACCATGGAATATTTTGGGGAGTGATGTAAAAAACACAGGCTCATTATGTACATTTAAGAAAATGATAAAGGTTGGATTGCTAAAGAAATATATAGTATAAGGTGTATCTATGTAAATTGTTGTTCTAGAGGGATTAGATGTTCTTTTCTTTTGTTAATAACATAGATTTTTTGTTACATGAACTTATTCTAGAAAAAAGGGGCAGACATAAGATTTTTTCTTCTCTCTGCTGCCTTTCATTTCATTTTATTTGTGATTTTGACACACACACACACACACACACACACACACACACAC